GCAGGAATGTTTTGTATTTGTACAACTATACAATGCAAGGAAACACATTCAATTTTGCAAGAACAAAAACCACAACACAATACTTCAAAGAGAGATGCCTTTCAACAGGCATATATGGAAAACTTGTTTTTTTTAAAAAATATACCTTTAAAGTTAAGGCTCCATTAAAATGAAAAAACTGAGACAACTTACAATTAACAGCAAAAAGGAAAGTGTGATATAGTAAGACCAGTATTAAGAAGAAGCTATTTTGATCCTTTCCCAAAACTCCACACTTTCACAGGTTCCTCTTCCCAGATAAGCAGACCACAGTCCATGTGGGGTATCTCGGTCTCAATATTCCTCCCACTGGCAGGAAAGCTCAAAGTCAGCTGTGTAGTAAACCAGTGTTCTGCTTCCTTCACTGGGCTGGCACTTCGCAACTTTGGTACTAAATTATGAGATCCATATTCCAGGCAAGCTGTTTCAAGCAACCCTGAGTATTCCACAGAACTTATGGTGTGTTTTAAACATCTGGACTAGATATAATCTGCTTTTAAAAGTCAGATTAGTGTTTTGAGAGATTTAATGTAGTCCAGTTGAAATTCCTGTCAGATAAGGACAAATAACTTCAATTAAGCTAGCTTTTAAGAGGGTCACTCTTTGTTTATAAATAGAAAAAAATTAATCATACTATGATTCTTTCTAAAAAAACTTGACAGTCCATACTGTTAAAAATGAGAAGAGAAAGGAAATGGTTTGACCAATACTACCCAGTAAACACAGAAGCAAGAAAAAAAATTATCTGTTCGTACTTGCAGATTACTTAAATTACATAATTCACTAGAGAATGAACATGTACTATTAACTTTTCCTCCTCTGCACATACAGCAATGTAGCTCATACAGTCCCTGAGTTTTCCTTAAATGGAGTTGGTATCTGAAAAACTTTATGGGGAAGTTGAGGCTTCCTTTAGAGGGGGGAGAAGATACAGCTTAACATTATCCTTATGTATTTCTAAACTACCATTCAAATTAACAGCATACATTTTTACCATCTTAAAGGAACATTATACAATTTTCAAATAGAATGTTAAGCATACATACTGCTTTTTTTGCAAGTATTATTAAAATATAAATAATATATTTCCTCAAAATACATACACACAGAATTTTTTGTTGAAATTTACATGCTATCACCTCTGCTTCTACACATCATGTCTTGTAGATTCCCTACAGAAGCATCAGCACCTGCTAGCAGAAATGTTCTTGTTCAGGTAGCTACACAGTTTCCTAGAGCAAGATACGCAAGATGACAAGGGAAGTTCTTTGTGACTATGTTTACCTAGATCTTTTAGCAGAGAGCTGTTCAGGGGGTTATGGTATTTTCCACACTTAAGTCAATATAGCAGTGCTTACGGCTTCAAGCACTGCTGTAGGGCATGCTAAATGCTCTAATGTCACCATGCCATGTGCTCAAAACCAAAACCAACTTACACCCAGATTAGCTGAGGATCTAATACCTTCCTGCCAAGTACTAGTATTTATTTTCAAGTAAAAGTTACCCAAAATGTCCTTCAAAATTATCTGGATCCTTTAAGTAATTATTTACAACTCTGAGAAAAAAAAAAAAAGCGTATTTATTTTATTGTACAAAAATCCAGCCTGCAAAATTACATATTAAATTTTTGGCGAAGCAGTTTTTGAAAGCCATAAGTAACTAAAAACAAAGGAAAAAGAAACAGTTGGACAAAGTCTCTAAAAATGCATCGTTAGTAACTACCACCACATGAGACAATCTACAGCTAGGGTAATTAAGCTATCAATTATGTTTTTTCTCTGGGCAGTAGGAAGATTGCATCTACAAGTACTGATCAATTTAGGATGACATATTGTATCTCATGACAAAGCTGGACTGTTTTTTCAAATCTGAGAAAAAAAAAAAAAAGCGTATTTATTTTATTGTACAAAAATCCAGCCTGCAAAATTACATATTAAATTTTTGGCGAAGCAGTTTTTGAAAGCCATAAGTAACTAAAAACAAAGGAAAAAGAAACAGTTGGACAAAGTCTCTAAAAATGCATCGTTAGTAACTACCACCACATGAGACAATCTACAGCTAGGGTAATTAAGCTATCAATTATGTTTTTTCTCTGGGCAGTAGGAAGATTGCATCTACAAGTACTGATCAATTTAGGATGACATATTGTATCTCATGACAAAGCTGGACTGAACAGTAGTTTAGAGTAGAATTTTCCCATCAGCTTATCCAGGACAAGCCCAATAACCCATGTCATGAGAAGCCAAGACCTTTGTCAGGCTTCAATTAATATAAAACCCAATCTCAGTGACACAGTGTTTTTAATTTTTCACCTTCCACTACTCACTGAAGTTTTGCCTCATGCCTTTCAACCACGAACATCTCTTGCACTAAAAATGACCAAATACATCACTTGGTGTCAGAAGCCATGTACCAATAAAGAACTACAGCTAAAAGGTACGTTACAGAAAAAAATCTGCAGAGCTCTGCAAATTATCAGTGTAACTAATAATTTTTCCTATATACTATCAATTAAAGTTCTTACTTAATTTCCAACTTGAGACTTACAGGTATTAGTTAAAGTGTTTATCACCACAGTATCTTAAGTTTTCAGAAGACATGTAAGGACCACCACTTTTGACTACCTACAGCTGTGACCTTGATTTTCTGTCCCCTGCTTCCCCACAACATAACATGTAAATTCTACTGAGAGTTTACCACCTGCCTGCAGCTTGGTTTTCAACAGCATCCTATCTCACCTACTTTCTGTAGCTCAGCTGCAGTCTTTCCCCTTTTTCCAACTACACCTCTATTAGTAGATTTACAGGATTATAGCCTACATTCTCATGGAACTGGGGCAGCAAGGACTTTAGATCCTGATCTGACATGAGGGGAAGAATGTGTATGAGATCAAGAAATTAAAGTGTCTCTTGCTCAAGCAGACTGCCTTTGCTTACAGAACAGTACACAAGACACAGGAAGCAAACAAACCTCTGCGATATACCTGCAAAAGGAGCTCCCTATCTCCCCCTCCTTGGGGGGGTGCAAGAAGTCCTGTAAAATCTGGGCATTCTGGTTGACAATGACTTCAAACACCAAGAAAAATCAGAGTGCACTGAGAGCAGCTGAAATAGCTGGAAAAACATTAAGGAAAGTTACTGACCTAGAAAGACAAAAAGTCTAGATAATATCAAGTGTGTTATTTACAAGGCATAACTCAAGTTTCTGGACAGATTTATATCAACACTGTTCTGCCGAAATATAGAATTTAAAACTAGAAGAGGAGGTTTTTGCTAAATGAAACTAGTTTAAACAAGTAGAGAAATATCAAATTAAATATTTGAATTGTACTTTATTTATACTTCCTAAAGCAGGAAAATTATTCTCACCTGCTATTCATTAGAACAGGTTAACTTCCAGTAAAAGATGCCTCTTAATTCAGCAAGCTTCCCTGAAAATATGTCAGAGATTTCAGATTGTGGCTGAAAAGAGTTTCAGAAAAAGATTTTGCTGCAGTTCAGTGTCCTCAGTAACTGACATAAAGCAGATGGGGGGTTTAACCTTAACAGATTCAGCATTGTGGAGGCCGTCCAAGTCCCTACACAAATTGTTTTTATTTTAAACTCTACTTTTAAGTCCAACGATCAGAATTTCGCTGATTCAGATAGAAAACAATTTGGAAAACACCAAACTTCTGAAATGCTTATTTCAGCTTAAGTTTCCTGACAAAGTACTGTTTAAATACACACTTTTAAATAAAAAACATGGCATTCATCTAGAGAAACAATGTTTAGCTTTCATCACAGAGAGCTTAGTGTTCACTGACTGCACAGAATTGCCATTGAAAAATGAAGACAGTAGTATCTTGAATGACAGTCTAAGATTTGCTTATTTATAATTTAAGGATCAGGAGGGGTCATCTTTCACAGCACAGCAGCAATTACAGCAAACTGTCTTCTTGGTACTCTGGCTAATAAATAATAGGATATTGTATTAAAACGTTTTAACACAAATAAACACTAAAAGCACTTCTAGAAATTCCAGTATATCTTAATTTTTTTTCAAGCAATTTTACTAGAAAGTATGAACAGAACAGAGTCCAACTCCTGACCATCACTGTTTCCTTCCTGGAGAACAGCAGGGAGGATGAAAAATTAAGAAAAATTCCTTCTTAACAATCATTCATCATAAAACTTCCAGTGTGTTGTAATCAGACACTTTCCTAGGACGTACAAGGAATGGCAAATATTTTTCAAGATCTAACTGCTTTTTTTTAAGGGCTGCAAACAACTAGAATACTACATAAAAAATTACTCCATCTCAGAGACTGCAATAAGACTGCACTGGAAAATCTAGAAAACATATCAATGTCCCAAAAACTAATTATGTCAGGATCAAACAACTATTTGCCAGTTTTTATTAGTAAGGTGTTGTAGGAATCGAATTTTTAATATATTTTAGCCAAATATATTGAATCCTGGACTAAAAAAATGTCAGATATTAGTGGAGGCAGTCTGTTTAGCATCAGATTTTAAAAATGGTGTTAAGAATTTAGAGTAGTAAAACAGCCCACCTCTTCCTTCAGCTTAGCTACTGATTGCTACCTTTATTTGTTCTTCCCCAGACAGTAAATACAGAATAATTTGTGTGCTGAGGTTGAACTAGGATTCAAAGGGATGAGAAAAAAAGATATTCTCCAGATAAATCAGTTCCACAGTCCCGTCCACTGTGCAAGGGAAGCACAGGGCATGCTTATCTCAGCACTTTTACAAGCTCAGAAAAAGTTTGAATGGGGTTTAAGTAATTATGCCTGCAGTCCAGCAAACAAATCAAGTATTGCAATATTAATCAAGTATGATAAAAACAGTGGTTTAGTGTTTATCTTCCTAGCTGCATCGTGGGTACCTATTACACACCACTACCACAACGAGTTCTGTCATCAGCTCTTTGAATTTCAAGTGTAGTATTACTACTTTTTCTTGAAGGCCATGTATTGGTTCAATTGCTCCCTTAAAAGCAGTGCTGATAGTTCAGAAGCTCATACTGCTCTTCAATATCTGGTCAACTCCACTGTTTCACCTTTAAAACAGTTGTTTCTTATAAAAAAGTATCATTATGAACAAATAACATATATCAAGACATCCTGCAAGGAAATTAAATTAATAGCCATTTAAATTAAAGGCTTCTGTAAAAAAAAAAAAAAAAAAAGAACACTAACAGTCTGAACAAACAATACTTTGTTTTCATTTGGCTCCTGCAAATCTGACTGTTCTGGAATACCTACATTCTGCCAAAACCAGTTATAGATTCTGTGCTCAACACAATCAAATTTTTTGGCCAGAGTTTTAAACCTACAGTCTTTCTGAGAAGTTATTTTTACGTTCAGCTTTAAAATGCCATTAACTTCAGGAGATATTTAAGGAGCTCCCTATTTTTCTATTCCAAACTATGTTGTTTCATGTGTTTAAAATACTACAGAAAATCACACAGAGCACCTCTCAAACCATTCAAACTACTAATGACAAACTCCCATGCTAATTCAAACTACTAGGATGGCACTCTACATCCTAATCTTTTAGGGAAAAAAAGCAATATTGAAACTAAATTCAACCTTAGCATGGATTGGATGACCTTAATGTAAGCTGAGCTCTTTTTCCCAGACAAAGTTTTACCATCATCAAAACCTTGTTATTACGTAAGTCCTTGGTTTTAAAAAAAACTCCACTATAAGGACTCCTAAAACAATTCCAATGTTAAACTATACTTTGAAATGTGTGGCATTGAAAAGGACACATTCTATAGTTCTGTAATACCTCTCTTATCAGAAAACGACTAGTTTTGCACAGTTTACCAGTCAAAACTGCATGAAGTCAGAAAATTACCATTACACAAAGAAAAGCAGTGTTCTCCTGCATATGTTACTGCTCTTCCACAGGGAGAGCAAGATGTTTAACATGGAGGAACTCCCACATCTCTAGTATCTCCCATTCTTCCTACCAAGTACTACCTAACCTATGTACTCATTTTTCCCATGAAGAAGTTGCAGCTACTAGCAAGGACTGAGTGTACTTGCCCTCCATGGGCACATTTGCAATTTTATTTGCTGTAGCTACACACATACTAAAAAAAAAAATCAAGCTGTTGCTTACAAAAATCAGGTAAAAACACCAACATTTCTTTCTCATTCAAATGTTTACAAAAAATATTAATTAAAAAAAAACCAATTGTCTCCAAACCCATGTAGGCTTCTACTTTTTCTGAATTTTCTGAGGAAAAAAGTGAATTCATATTAACTTAGACAAAATGTAAAGAATCAATTAGATCACAATTTAAAAATTTTCCAGCCAGAAACATAAAAAAGTATATTTGCAATGAACAGATTTATTTCAGAAACTACACATTTCTTCAAAACTGCATGAAAAAATTCCTTTCCAAGACTACTCGCAGAACAACAACCCAAATAAACACCATCTCCTAAATAGTGCATTTTTCTGTATCCCTTGTTAGAAGCAAAATCTGGCAAGGATTCGATTAGCTGCTATCATGAGGAGTGTGGTAACCAAATGAGAAGTTTCAAGAACAAGTGAGTACAGAATTCAAAATTATTACACAGAATTTCACATAGGAAAGAAGTACAAACAAACAAAGCACATGATTCCTGATGTTTCTCAAGACACATCTGAAGTTCACCAGCCTTCAAATAATACCATACCTGTATTTATTTGGTTGTTTACTTTAGAAACCTTGAACAGGCTGAGCAGAAGAAGTAGATGATAATGTTGAATTATATCCCACAGGACCATGCTGTTGAAGAGAATGAGGTACTGATGTACTCTGGCTAGAAAATGCATTTGTCTCTTTGAACTGTCCAACAGCAGGTAGGCTCTGAGAGGTAAATGCCTGCCCGTACACACTGCCAGCAGCTGCAGGATAGGAAACATTAGGATACATGGCACTAGAAACCACAGGCATGGGGTATTGATCAGAATTAAAGGGAAATCCCTGAGATGCAACTGAAGAGCTCACAGAAGTGCTGTAGTGATTACCAAATGATGAATAGAACTGCTGAGCACTTGTATGCACATAGGATGCAGATGATATTGCTCCTTGAATAGGTCCTTCAACTGACCCCACTGTATGGGGAGGAGTTTTATTGTACAACTGCTGTGATTCCCGTGTATTCAACACACTGGTACCCACAGAAGGTGTCATCGCATTTTGTGCTGGTGCTGAATAGTAAGCAGCGTAGTAATTGGCTCTATACTGGTCATCCAAATGTGAAGCAGCAGGTTTGCTGGGCACTTGGGAATAGTGTCCTGAGGGTGCACTATAGTTTGGAGGATGTGAGCCATATCCAGAGGGGAACTGCATCTGACTCGGCACTGGACCTGAAACAAAGAGAAAATGTTACATGTATTAAAGGTGCATCTGATCTAAATTGCTATTTACTCTAACAAACAATTGTTTTCTATCAGTACTTTTGAGTTAAACTTCCATCGGCATAAAAAGAACAAACCAAGTATAATGCATGCAAAATAAAGTATTTGAAGTAATTTACAAACACAGACAGAAGTAACAGAAAAACTGATTGTTCCCACTATCGAAAGATGTTTCCATGCCAAGACTAAGTCTCCCATTTGTACTTCTAGTATTCTGAAGAGTTTTTAGACATTTAAACAAATAGTGAGCAACAGTAAGCACCAAAGTAATTTTTCTAAGCATCTGAATACAACAGTATGCCTTAGAGAAACTCAATGAATGCAGAAACTGGAAAGCTGCAAACTATTACAACAAAATATAAACAATTAGGTACTCTTCTTCACAAATCCTCAACATGGTGACTGAGATTAAATGCTGTAGGACACTTATTTTTGCCTTTCATGTTCTTCTGTATGACATTTTAATGAAAATCAGCATTTTTATGAAACTACTGAATATTTGACAAGGCCCTTCATTTCTGTTTACTACCTGATACTTACATCAGGTATAGGAGATGTTGCAGTGACAGCAGAGGTCAGTTTCCCTGATGGCAAGTGGCTCTGCAACATTAGAGGTTAGTTACGTACTGGTCCAGCAAGAGTAAAGCAATACTTGTTTGCTAGTGTCCTGCAAACAGTAGCAAACCAGTCCTCAAACCAGGACAGCTAGAGCTTGAATTTTAACTATGTCCAAATGATTTTTTTCAGTGTTATCTGATCATGGTAGTTCTGAAAATTCTTCCTCAAGTTCTTTTCCTGAACCCTATTTTTATTTTCTACTGAACCACAAATGCATTTCCCTAGATAACTTGCTTTCTTAAAACTACCACACACTACTGCTTACATCACACTCAATGACTATGGTGTTATTTCTCAGCCCTCAGTTAACAGAAATACAAGCACAGCACTGGGCCACTTGCAAATTTAAACAGCTGTAGTGATATAATAATAAGTTGTTGATTTCCCCCCTCATATTTATGATATGGAAGTAGCATTCTTGTCTTGAAACTCTGGAAAGTAATTGCTCAAAAAAGAAACACCCAGATGTTCTATGATTTACTTGCAAGGCAATTCTAATAATGAATCTGTTAACATAATATTTAAAGCAATGACCATACTGTTTAAAATTGCTTTCTGATAAAATTTAGAAAACCTTTTCATTACTGACAACATAGAAAGTTGAGTAGAAGAGAAAGGAGCTAAAGACTGAACAAAAATAAGTTGGACTGCTGAGCTGAAAGACAGAAAGGCACTTTGGTAGAAAGCATAAATAGCTTAAAAAATGCAAATATTAAATCCTGAGTTCTCAGGAGAGTAACTATGCTTCTGATTCACTATTTTCTTGAAAAAGTGGGAGATGCTTCATGAAGCTTTGCAACTTACTCTCCTTTAAAGGAAAATATTTTGTGTTTGCAAGTCATTAACAGTTACATAAACTTTGGCAGATTTTGGACCTGCTTCTTCAGAATCTGATAGAGAAAATTAAAAAATACACCAATAACTTAGGTTTGTCAAGGCTTACTGCTTTAAGCACTTATGTCACTTTAGACATCAAGAAAATACATTCTCTATAAAGACTGTGCATTCAAGAGTATAAATTCCATGAAGCCCTAACTAAAAGAGACACATCCAACATTTGAAATAGTATTTTTTTTATTTCAAATTTCTGGTCTTTTGAAACTAAGTTTTACAATAACAGACAAAAGATTATTCCCATTATCTGAAGTGAGTTTTTTGTCTGCTTGATTATAAAGAACATGAATGAAAGTAACTTTTGTACTGCAATTAGTAGCTGAGACTACTAATGATGACTAGATAATTGGACAGTTTTCAGCTCTGGAAATCTGGGTATATCTGCAATGCCATTCTGAAACCTGGTTAATTGTGCAGTCTGTCCTGATGTCTCAGGTACTCTATCTTCCTCCCAGAACACCTGGCAAACCTCTTCCAAAAAGCTCCACAAAAGGAGCTGAAAAACTGAGCTGCACATAGGTGTATTGCTAAAATGCCTTTTCTGTTGAACCTCTCCTTTTAAAAATTAGTATTTTGTAATGTTAGAATGTATATTTACAGACATTAATGGGTCAACCCCAAAAGCCTTATAACTTTTTAAGAGGGGGTGGAGGAAAGCCACTCAAAATAAAAATAAAAAAATAATAAAAAAAAGCAGCAGCATGGCTGTACCCCAGTGTGAATTACTAAAGCTTTGCTTTCATCATGTTTGTTTTCATTTTTATACCCATGCTACATAGGCTACCTACATGTAGTCTATGTACCTTACACACCATCTTCCTTTCTGGACAAGAACACGTGTTAGTAACGGGATAGATAGCCCTGCTGTGCCTTGTTAAGCTCATTGTGCCCTTAATTGCCATCAAACAAGCCACCAAATCAAGGTATTGCTGAGCTCTCACAACAGGTCAGTCATGGGAATTAATGCCTAGCTCTTTTACTCCCCCAGCTTTCTGTTTTCAGGGATTTAATATCTTTCAGACTTTTATCTCTTTATCAAATTTAATGCAACTATCCAAAAGATCCAAAGTCTGAGGATGGATGGAAAGAAGGATAAATAATGCCATAATGAAAACGATGCTCCCAAAATGCTAGCAGAGATACCAACATTAACTTTACAAACCAGCAGTAGACTACACTAAAAACAAATATCTGGAGAAACATAAGGATTCAATACAACTATCCTCTCAACGTTAACATTTCAATACATTTGTTAGCAGTGAAGTGCTCTGTTGCTCCTGGAAAGATACATCATCTTTCAGTACTGATTAATCAATGAACATTTTATTATGCTGAAATTAGGAAACAAGTCATTTTCCAACTAGATACGAAGCCACTTCCAAGACTACTACAATAAAAGCTTCTCCTACTTGAACACTTTACTCAGAAGAATTACATTTTAAAGTTCCAGACTTAGGAACATTACCCTAAAGAAGGGCCTTTAAAAAAACCCACTTAATTTCATTATTGGGACAAACAAAGAGAACTGAATATGAGCAAAAAAAACCACAACAAAACCAAATAAGTTAATTAAAAAAACCCAAACTCTAAGTAATACTAAAGCTAAAGTCTCCAAGGGTCTTAAATGGACTTTGACACTGGATCAGGCAAAACTTATTAAAAACAAAACTGAATATCCTTTTTAATATCACTGTAAGTGCAACAGGTTGCTTACTTTCTGCCAAAAAAAAAACCAACAAAAAAACCAGCTCCTCTTTCATCAGCTCCCAGTAACTTCAAAGTTTTACCTGAAAAATCCACATTCTATTTGGACAAAGCACTCTAAACATCTTGAAAGTATGCACTAACATTTTCTTTCAGCCAATGTAGAAACAACTGTATTCACTTAAGTCTCCTACATTTAAACTTCAAAAACAGTTACAATCTTCTCCGTGAAACTTAGTTTCTGTTGGACAGAATGAAAATTTCCAGCACAGTCTTTTTCTGATACTGTTCTCCTCTACTTCACCTCCTTTCACAATTAAAAAAAAAAAAAAAAGCCTCAAATTCTGTGTATAACTTCAGAAGATTAGTACTAAAAGACATACACTAATCTAAACATTCTGGAATGCTATTGCAAAATGACACAAAATGACAACATCAGGAGTTCTTGCCTACAAATCATCATATACACATCACTGCAAGGCCTCTCAAGGGACATGGAAGCCAAAGTTGTGTAGTTAGCAAGTCACACAATAAAAATCCAGCACTATTAGTGAACAGTGTATACATTTCTCAGAATAAAAGAAAAAGTGTTTCACTGAAAACAAATGGTCTACTACAAAGTTTTAAACCATCTGGTTTTAAGAATATTAACAGCTACATGGAGTTAATTAAAATAACAAACAGTAATGACAGCTCTTTAATATTACTGTTCTGTTCAGTTAAAAAACAAGGAGAATATATAATGTAAGTTTGTTTCTGCGAAACACCCTTCCCATATTACTGATGCTGTAGCAGCTGTGTCCTCATTATAGAAGGTAATAAAATACCACACAAGATGGTATTTTCTAAATTATTTTGACAAAACTCAGTATTACAGTATTAAAGTCTGGACACATCTGAGGTATTGCCCTAAAATCTACCTACGTTTTCATTCACTTCAGTGACTGTTGCATTATCTGCAAGCTGATTCACAACCTACTTTATAGTCCTACCACCACTTTTGACATGAGAAAGTTAAATTACCAAGTAAAAAATTTTGTAAGTCATTACTCTGCATATTGAGCTGTGTGGTAAAAACACAAGTGCACAAAATAACCTGACTACAAAACAAACTATTTGACAGTAGTGGCTAAAATTCCATGCAAATAAGAGACACAATTTAGATACCAAACCATGATTAGGTGGGGATGAAGATTATATGGGCATTCTGAAAAGCCAGAGATGTATTAATAAAGAATTGATATTATAGTGCACCATTTTTTATGGGGAACATTGTGCTAGTTATTTATAGTCAAGCTAGTCTCAATACCTCTCCATCTGAAAAAGCAAGTCAGAATTTTGCGACTTTGAACTATTTTACTTTTGCTTTTCAGTGACCTACATTTCACTGATGCAATCTTGTTTGTTCGACTCAAAAGCCAAGATCTAGTTGTGGGAACGCCTACCCACCTACTCGTTTTAAGTTCCTGAACAGTTACTCTTAGTTTAGAAGTAGTCTCATCTAGAGTACGTGGGATTCGGCCCAGACATACTCAGGCACGAGCCTGGCCTGGCCTGGAGGTGCCTTGGCCTCCAGAGCATTCCCAAACCCCCACAAAGCAGGCGCCACAACACGGAGCCGACCCAAACTCGCGAGGAGAGAAGGAAGCGGATACCACCTCCCCAGCCCCTTCACCGAGGCCGGCAGAGACTGCGCCTTCCAAAGTTAAGCCCGCACGGCAGCGG